TTGTAAACACAATCATAATTTCTTCAAATGCCGGGAAACTTACATAATACAATTAATAAAATCAAAATTACGACCCCACAGCGTCTCTCTTGTCATGAAGTAATATTACTAGCATCGCTATACACTAAATTACAAGACGCGAAAAATCAAGCCCAAGATCAGGGATTCCAATATATAATATTAAGTACACACCAAGATTATATAGATACATATAAGGCACATAGTGTGAACACCATTACATAACACAACTATAGTTATAATATAGTGTAACCACCAGTTAAAACATCAGAATCATGTTAATACAAAATACATGCAAAGATACAGAAAATGCAAAATAAAAAAATGAACACTGAAATAATATATGACATTATCGCCTCATCCGCTTCTTGGTCGCTTTGAGGCAAGTGGAGCACGCGCTTGTCATTGGGTACAATCACTGCAATCGCACTCAGATACATTCGTCCCATAGTGGAGGCCATCCCGTTGGAGAGAGGGAGGGAGTGAGAGAGAGAAGGGATGGGGAAGGAGGGAATGAGAGAGAGAGTGGGAGGGAGGGACAGAGAGAGAGAGAGAGAGAGAGAGAGAGAGGGGGAGGGACAGAGAGAGAGAGAGAGAGAGAGAGAGAGAGAGAGAGAGGAGAGAGAGAGAGAGAGAGAGAGAGAGAGAGAGAGAGAGAGAGAGAGGAGAGAGGAAGGGAGGGAACGGGATAGAAAGGGAGATAAGTGGTGATGAGAGATGATGTCATTCTTTCATCGCCAACAGAACACATCATCTTCCTCCATTCTTTCCGAGAGAGAGCATCCTACGTTATTTCGTACTCACGTCATTCACCTCACACTTGATTACTTCAGTCTTTCTCTCTTCATGTCACCGACCTCGATTCACACTCACGCTCTATCGCCACGCACACCAACACTCTCACTCCACACTATCTCACTATTACTCCCTTACGTCGTATTCCACGTGAACCACATCTCGGGTCTCAGGGTGACGTCTTTTAACAAGTGGACGCAGTAAACAACACACAACTATGAATAATGAGGTCGTGAGGGAGGGGCCTGGGCACCCGGGAGGGTCAGATGGCTTGCCCAGGGCCTACGGGGGTGCCACCAGATACTGCGGAGTGCCGTCGCCCGCTAAGTGGACGCTGTCTGAGTCCCCTGATGAGAAGGACCAGACTTCTTGCGGGAAAACTTTAGATCCAGATTGAATGATTTACGTCTCACGCTAGGCGGATGAGTCACGGCTGTGCATACTCCACGCTCCTAGACATGTCTGATGTTACTCCTCCGTTATACGAGCAAACGCGGATGGTCTCTGCAAGTATTTAGTTGTTATTGTTACTTTTTATATAACAATTAATAGCCACCCCTAAGAGTCCGAAGGGTAACATGCCGATGCCAAGGAGTTCACCTCCAGGGGCCTCAGCCCACCCCCTGCCCGACCATGGAATTACAAGCGCCCTGACGAGGAGCCCCGCGCCCCTGGCCGTCACGGGACCACGTCCCTCGGTCTGCCACGAGCCAGCATTTCTTCAGCTGGAGATTTCTCCCGTCCGTTGAGTCTGTCAGCAGTGGTGCCGCTCACGGTGTTTTTTTTTTTTTTTATCAAATATGGAACTCGGTTTCAACGCTGGTTATGAAAGCTTTTATATTTCATACCTATACAATTACTGGCTCTTTCTTTAATGTGTTTCGTTGTCTATTAACGGTATACATCCCTCAAAAGTGAATTTAAGCTTCAACGATCAACACGTTATGAGAAATTCCGGGGGAGGGCGACAGGAAGTGACACAAGTAGAATCCAGCACAACGAACTGAGGGGATGAGTTGATGCTATGGGCTGACGGAAGCAATTACTCCGCCTCGCCTTTTTCACTGTAGCACCGTAGCTCTGTCTCTCCTGTTGCATTGGACTATGTTTAGTTGGCGTTGGGAAGAATGTAACTATAATCATATTTTAGATAATCATGTTTTAAACCGTTGTGGTTGTATGGTATATGAAATGTGTTAGGGTATATGTATGTAAATGTATATACACATTTTTCTTCCGTAAAATGATACATCAAAACAACCTTTTTGTTATCTGTATTGAATGCAAAAGGCGATTCGGTAATCTTTTGTTTAGGAGTTTACGCAGGGAAACAAGTCGGAGGGAGTGAGGAGGGAGTGTGTCTGCGGCGAGAGGGTGCCACCGCCGCTAATTTTAGAGCCGTACTCCTGGCGACCACCAACGCCCTCTCTCCCTCTCCCTCTCCTTCTTTCTCTCCGCCGGCCGCGCCACCCCTCGCCCGCCCCCGAGAAACTAGTCCCATTCACCTGAAGCCTCTATAACGAGGGCAGCAGTAAAGACAGGGTTCTCGGAAAGCCCTTTGCCGCAGCGACAGAGGCTAAGAATACAACATGGCTGAGGCAGGGGATCTAATTATCAACATTATTTTTCTTCCTTTTTTGTGTGTTGGGGGAGGGGGAAGTTCCGTGAATTGCCAGCGCATAGTTTTTCTTCCTTTTGTTGTTTTGGAATCAGCGTATGATTGAATTGAATCAGCAGGCAACGTTCAAGCATCTTTATATTTATCATTAGTTAATGGTACTTTGCACTGAAGGTGAAATTATTTTATTACAAAACAAACCGATTACCAGAAAATTGTACTTGTAACTTGGCACGGATGAATCGTTGAAACGGAAGTCGTTTGTAAGAATAAGAATAAAATACAACAGTAATAAGCAAGAAACAGCTCTTGGTATAAGATAAAACACCTCTAATAACAAAGCTATGAATAGCGTTGCGTGTGTAGCAACTTCGCCTGCCATCGCCGTCTGGCTGAGTCAGTAAAAGAAAAATCTCAGCTCGATTGGAAACGTCACCGCAAATGTGTATGGGCAGGCTGTAGAATCAAGCGAAAACAGGTACTTTTCTTTTATACTTGCAGGTATTTTTGATTTCCTTTGCTATATAAATAATCAAGCTACTTATCTCTATATTGCATTACCACTGATGCTGACTGTAATATCATCAGTTTATGATTTGTCTCTTAGCTTATGAAAGTGGACGTAACCAAGATGGCGAGTTGTACCACTTTTAGAAAATTCTTCGGGTACAGATCATCTTCGTTAAGACCAATCTGGCAGTGGTACCCAAGTGCTTTCGAACCGAGCCCTACATGTGATGCATAACAACAGTGTGTTATTTGGCTTCTTCCCAGATAACATGAAAGAGCACAACAGAAATAAACGTACGAGGGATGGGCGTTTCTTTTTTAGGTATTGTGCGTACGCGGGAGACTTTTACTTCTACGAAATTAATAAAATAATGAAAAATGAAATCGCCATCTTGCGTTGTGTCCACCGCGTGGGCCAGACGGCGGGCACGTCTCCGCTGGCAAACGTGACGTCATGCGAGGGGGCGTGGCTACTCGTCACAAGCGGTACACATCAGGATCGTCTGATATGTCAAGGCCGAAAAATAATCTTCAAAGCCGACTTTATTCTTGCGTCCCAAATCCATAACGGCAAAATATCATCTTGAGGATAGTGAAGAAGACTGAGCTACGAACGATGTCCAGCTGACCGTCGCGGGGATTCTGAGGCCCGGGCGAGGCTCAGCTTCGCATATCTGGCTTATCCTTATCCTTTGTCTTGCGTTGTCTCTCGCCTCAGGGTGTGCCACACCAACACGAGATGCATGCAGGAAATATATTGGTTAGTGATATTCTCAGATGCTAAAGTATTCCTAGCCTCCTCAAAATAACGCAAAACTTTCGCCTTGTAATACGTGTGATTGAAGAGTCTGGAGAACACACTGGACAGAGAGCAAGAATTTTGTATACTTAATTTTAACCACGGGAAGTGACTGTCCCTTCGGAGACCGGGTGGAAGACGAAGGCATGCTTATCTAATGGTTTACGTTTATACAGTGAGTTTGAATATCTATGATCTATATTTCTTTGTTTTCATGCTGCTGTTTCTGTGACATGCGCCGCACTTTATAAAGCGTATTTCAAATCAATTACCAATTAGCAGTCACAGCGCGTCCCCAGCCTGTCCCCGGAGAGACCCGTTTCCTTCGCGCGTCCTTAAGATTACTAGCACCATCGTTCAGCAGCGCCGAGGTCTGGCCGGCAGCGCGATCCTCACCCGCACTCGCGTGGGCCGTCGGGCGCCAGCACCAAGTGAGGGATGAGGAAAAGAACAAAAGAACAAACATCCTCAATCAAGGAGTTTTGAAAAATAGAAGAACCGTTGCAAGAAAGACTACAGAACAATCATACTCCATCAAGGTAACATCAAAGCACACTTAAAAGAGAAGAATGCACGTGGTATAACTAACTCAGAATGATTTAGATTAGTAATGGAACACGTCACTGCAAGAAGACGAGAGTGTGCTCAGCACGGGTCACCTTGCACGACCTGTTGGCTGGGGAATAAAACCTATATCTACATACAAAATTGGATAGTTACATTTAAAACGTATATTGCATTTTCCACTCTATATACCATTATACACTACATATTTTTTTTAGTAAGTACAGAAATATACCAAAACGAATACACATATTAGTAACTTATGTGTGAATACACAGCGCAGTGGTGACTACTGGTGTGGCAGACACGCTTGGCTGGCGCCAGAAGCTTGAGTTATTATTAGGTAAGAATAAACACAAAAAGAAGTCGACATAATCAAAATATATAGCCTAGAAATACGACAGATACTGTAATTGGATCTACAACGTTAATCGCTAAAAAGAGAAACTTTTGTCTGCTTAAACTCGAAAGGTGACGGCGACTGCAGCCTCTGGCCACCTTGGCGCGCACGTGCGCACGTCGCCCCAGTGACACCACTGCTTGAAGGACACACAGAGAGCCGAGACTAGAGGACGATCCCACGGTATGGAAACAGGGTACCAAGCCGCCTGCAGCTGCTCTAGGGTGCTCTAACTTCCACACCTTAGAAGAGTATTACTGTTTGGCTACATGTAAAAAAAAGAAATAATAATAAGGCACTCGTTCGGCTTCACTTTTGCAGTTGCCACTTCGTAAATAGACTTCTAAAGTTCTAAATCGCTGAATTCTCGTTTTAAATAAAAATTACTCATTTCTGCCGTGTCGTTGGTTGATCGAAGGACCACTCGGGGTCGAGGGAAGACTTCGTCGTTGGTTCACGCCCTCTCTTCGCTTGCTTTCTTCAAGTTCGGGAGAGACTAGGAAGGGAAGTTTCAGGAGCGACGAAGTTCGATTGCAGGATTCGAAGTTTGTGGCTGGCTATGAATACGTGTGCTTGTTTGTGTGCTTGTGTTGTTCATACAAAAGGCAAAAACACTAGCAAACGTTTTGTGTATGTGTGTGTGTATGTGTGTGTGTGTGTGTGTGTGTGTGTGTGTGTGTGTGTGTGTGTGTGTGTGTGTGTGTGTGTGTGTGTGTGTGTGTGTGTGTGTGTGTGTGTGTGTGTGTGTCCTTGCGTGTACCTCCTTGCAACTCCTGATAGTTTAGGATCCTAGTTGACTCTCCTGCAGTAATAGCCAAGGGACTTGCACTTCTCACAGAGGTGTTGTGGATGGACTTTGGACTGGTCTGACACATCCAGTCCGTCCGGCTTATCGAGGGGCCGCTGTAGGGGAGACATGGGGGGGAGCAATCGTGTTACTACAATATTACCAGATGTACGTAAAATAGTCATTAGACAAAATACAAATTATTCGTATTTATGAACATCCCCTACGACAACTTACGTGCATGCGAGGAATTTCCCAAACTTAAAAAGAGTCACAACACAGCATCAGAGCAAATGTCTAGACACTTACACCAGTCAATAGCAGCGCCACAAAAAATCATGTTACAGTAAATCCAATATTTTACACGCACATATAGTGATAGACATACACGTATTATGCACACTTACATACATACATGTGTGTGTATATGTTTATATCATTTTGTATATTTGTCTGTGTGCGCGTGTGTGTGTGTGTGTGTGTGTGTGTGTGTGTGTGTGTGTGTGTGTGTGTGTGTGTGTGTGTGTGTGTGTGTGTGTGTGTGTGTGTGTATCCATACATAGGTGTATATATATGTATATGTGTATATATATGTATATATATGTCCATATATATGTGCATATATATATATATATGTATATATGTCCATATATATGTGCATATATATATGTATATATATATATGTATATATGTGTGTATATATGTATATGTATGTCCATATATATATGCATATATATGTATGTATATATGCATATGTGTATATATGTATATATATATATATATATATATATATATATATATATATATATATATATATATGTGTGTGTGTGTGTGTGTGTGTGTGTGTGTGTGTGTGTATATATGTATATATATGTGTATATATGTATGTGTATATATGTATGTGTATATATGTATATGTATATATGTGTGTGTGTGTATGTGTGTGTGTGTGTGTGTGTGTGTGTGTGTGTGTGTGTGTGTGTGTGTGTGTGTGTGTGTGTGTGTGTGTGTGTGTGTGTACATATATATGTATATATATATATATATTCACATTGCATATATATCTAATATATATAAATACATATATGTATGTATACATATGTAAATGTGCACAGCACACTCACACACATACACACACATGCATATATATATATATATATATATATATATATATATATATATATATATATATATATATATATATACATATATAGATAGATAGATAGATTCATATATAGAGATTCATATATATACATGTATATATGTACATATATATACATGTATATATGTACATATATACATACATATATACATACACACATACATATGTGCATGTATAAATATGTATATTTACGTGTGTGTGTGTATGTACATATATATACATATATATTTATTCATTAATTTTCACATGTGTGTGCTTGTTTGTGTGTGTGTGTGTGTGTGTGTGTGTGTGTGTGTGTGTGTGTGTGTGTGTGTGTGTGTGTGTGTGTGTGTGTGTGTGTGTGTGTGCGTGTATGTGTGTGTGTGTGTGAATGCGTGTGTGTGCAAAGAAAGATGGGGATCAGAAAGAGTTCTAAAAACTGATACAGAGAAAGACATGCATAAACACATACGTAACAAACAATATTTCCCACATAATAATGAAAAACAAAATACACAAAAACACACACTGCTGTTAACCGAACTCACAAACCGAACACACGAATGCAGAAAGTCATGCAAAACCAGAGAACCTTAACTTCTGATGATTTAACCAGAAGAAACTGACCGATCTCCACTGTTGTTTCCCCGCCAAACCGTACAATATCAGTGTTTATAACAATGCTATTGTCATGGCTCATAATAACTCCTCCTCATAACAATTTCACCAAAGGAATATCACCAATTTATGTATGTTCAACGCCAGCTGAACACGCCAGTACCAAAAAAGCATCATTATGAACTCAATAAATTTCCACCTCATGTGAACCACCATTGTCAATATTATGAGATTATGCCTAACTGACCATAACATAAGTACAATTATCTCTCTACGAGTTATATGACCACTGTCCCCAATTCATTATCAACAATTCAAAAAAAACAAAAAACTAGTACAATGCATCACCACCATTCAGGAAAACTACCATCAAAAGTCCTTCCATGTGACTGAAACGTCAAAGCAGGATGATCTCCTCCGCGTTCGAAACAAGGCCAAAGTCATATTTTGACTGAGAACTTGGACGTGGCTACAAGCCTGTATGTATCGCCTTTCCCATAGTAGCAAAGAGCCAAAGAGCACAACTAAACTATCACTCAAGTACTATAATCTACAGATCCATTTCTTTTAAACTCAGCTAATCCTCCGTATACGCTATCTCCTATCTACCCACTAAGAACACGCACCGAAGCTAAAAGCCTAAAAGGACTCTACAGCGGTGAGAACAACGTCGTTATGATCCACACTCACAGTTGTTAGGGTACAAGCACGGACCTGCTTGTGTGGATACACGTTGATGCGGCATTTGATGCACTCCTGGCCGCAGTTGGCCCACGAGTTCCCGCTCATCCACTTCCGTTTGCATTTCGTGCACCGGAATTCGCCGAAACAGCGCTTTTTCCCCTGGTACGGCGTAAGGCCCTCGCCCTTGGGTCGTGCCTGCGGGTGGGGAAAAGAGAGATACCTGTTTAGTGCTAAGGAGGAAATGGCGCCTGGTGTTGTATGTGTTACAATATATTAATAAAGGTCTTATCGGTCATTGATTAAATATTTATTAATTTCCATTTTCTATTCAGGTCATTTATACGCATGTCCTCGGAATATTTATTTAGTTTCATCATTTTCTTTTAGATTATAAGGATAAGACTTGGATATGACTACATAAAGTTATATTGATTGACATTTTCAACAAGCAGGACGCGTTACATCAGTGTCTTTCCCTAACATTTTCTTTTCCCTAACGCTTGGCACTCTGGATTATGCAGTTGGCATCTCACCTTAACATATAAAATGTGCAATGTTTATTATATTTATATGCATCGTGTATTCTAAAGTCGCACGTCTTTTATAAACATCAATATTGTCCAAATAGTAATAGAGGAATATGGTGTTTTGGAAATGCAGAATGGCACAGATGTTCGCCGGCCATAGGGTCTGCGTGTGTTGGTCACAGGGTACGTGAGAAGCTTGTGGCGTATGTAGCACTTTGCTTCGTCAGTTCATACGTGCATTTGTTTGACAGTGTGATTGTGTACTGAAGATTCATTCATTTCATTTAGAGACTGATTCTGATATGCATGATTGAGTGTCTTTTACTATCACTTTTAGTAATATTCATTGCGTTCCGATCATAACATCAAATACTAAATATTCATTATATGTGTGCGTGTGCGCGTGTGTGTATAAGCATGCTTGTGTGTCTGCATATGCGTGTAGAAAGAGAGAAGCATACACACATATGGCTGAAATGCAAGAAACGCCTGTGTTTTCGAGAGCACCGACACCCACACCCACGCTGCCCTGTGGTTTTGCCAGCTGTAACGTCCGGCGTCGCTCACCATAAGGACGAGGGGCACTTCCGGCTCAACGGGACCTTGTGAGGATGCGGGGGGTGGGGTGGGCGAGGACCAGATTCATTCTGTGGGAATCGGCTGATGTTTCTCTCTCCGCTGAATCTATTCACGTCTTTGTTTACGTGTCGGAAATCTCGGTCGTGTGTTTACATTTGACGTTTGTTTGTGTTTATGGACGCGTGAAACTGTTTTTTTTTATCAAAAAGTTTTTTTTTTATTGTGTTGTTTATATACTTCTCCAAGCGTGTCCCTATACCTGGTTTACGTATATGAAGACGCCAGAAACTGTATTTCCAGAACGGCAAATGCCTTAATACACTTTTGACCTAACCCGAGAACAAACATTGAGAATGATTTTCTCACCTGCGGGCATTCTTTGATGTGATGACCCTTCTTGAAGCACAAATGGCACAGGTAGTTGGGCGGCAGTTTCCTCCCCTTCACCTTCTTGTCAAGGCCCAACGTCAGCTCATTCAGTTGGTCCGCCAGCTCTCCTGTGGAAGACGAGAGGAAAAATGTCCGAGTAAATCACATAACACCAGCTGTGTTTACTGAGGATGTTCAGAACGCCTGTCAGGTTCTCATCATGCCTTAGCCTTCTCTTTTGACGACAGCGTTTTTAGGTTTTAATCTAAATACAGGCATTTCACAAGCGTGAAGCTGTGCTGGTTGGAACTGTTGCTCTTCCCTGTTACACAATGTATTTTAGAATCTGGCGAAGCAAGATTTTTTTTTTTTTTTTTTTTACATTAGTAGTAGTTGACATATGGTTGTTTAGCCTGAATGTTTTTTGTTTTTTGTTTTTTTCAGGTTATTCAATCACTTAATCCACAGGTATTCGTCATCAGAAATACTACAAATTTGATTTAGAACCGCGTAAAATTATTCTTCATATATTTTAGGAAGAAGCAAATACAATGTTTCGCTTGTCGTTTGTTCTTTTTGAACTGCTTTTGTTGACCTCATATAAATAACTCACATAATTATAAATGCACTGATTTAAACTTGAAAATATCACCGTGCAGTAGTGAAACATACTGAAAAAGTAGTCACAAATACTAAACGCTATCCGCAGACAATGCTTAGACAATTTTATATATTAATTATCAACTCAATTAACGAATCGGAACATTCAGTTTAAGAATTATACATCTTTCCGATCATAAGCATCGATAATTAATGAAAAATTAAGCAGACCTTTTTTGTCGAAGTGAAAATTTGATTAATTTCAGTTTCAGGAACTTCCTCTCAAGTATGTTTTTGGACAAAGGGATAATATATGACGTTCACAGTCGTGTTATCATTTGTGACAGAAAATGTTGCTAACGATCATAGCCTTTGTACCGGAATATCTTTTAGAATTATGTAATATATAAGTACAAGGCAGTGGAATTTATGGCAGTCGAACATTATATTCGTGTTAGGACGGGTGAAAGTGCGTGTACGTAATATGCAAAAAAACATGTTTTTATCTAAAATACCTCAACATATTATGCAGAAATACTATTTTTTTCGACCAATAAAAACGATGCTGACAGTAAAGAGAAAACACCGCACTGGTTATCAAGCGAAACCATCAGTCCATGTTATTAGACATAATTACCTATGATGCAGACAGTCAGTATATTAAAACTTTGATCATTCATAGAGCATGTTCTGTCATTCGGTACTTAACTATAACGAAAGCAATGTAGTTTATCACGACGTAAACCTGTAATTATCTCGAGGTTATCAACATTCCGGAAAGATGGCTGACGTATGACAAGGTAACCAGTCGATATGTTTATTGATATTCGGTTGCCTGACTTTCCTCGTCGCTTTATGCATAGCTGTGTTTAACCTTTACTTTTCATATGTTTAGATACATTTTTTTTTTTTTTTACACACACGTTTTTCTTTTTAAGCGAGAGTATGCTGAGTGTATGGTATTCCGAATAGAGCGATTGGATAATGAATTGCTTATTAATCTCCCTTTTTAAATTTTCTGAACAAGCTCTTCATTAATCAAACCATATTTAACAAGAGTACTTTTTATAATTTCCTTCAGTTTCTGACAACGCCAGGGCATCGGAAGTTACCTTTCAGGAAGCACATTTAAGAAAATATATCTACACACACGTGCGTGCGTGCGTGCGTGCGTGCGCGCGCGCGCGCACACACACACACACACACACACACACACACACACACACACACACACACACACACACACACACATATATATATATATACGCATTATATATCATATATATATAGTAAACAGATAAAAATCGAATAACGGATAAATAGGTGACGAAACGAATGGATGGATAGACAGATGGATCAGTTGGCTAGACAGATAAATACAAAATTTAAAAGTATATGCTTTATCTTAAGAATGTGGCTTATATCAAAGGGCTGAGTTGGACGTAAGTTAATAACAGTAATGATAATGACAATCGCAATAAAGACTAGATAAATGGAATTTACCAAACTACGGTACAAAATAAACAAATAATTATCGCTGTGAACCGTGTTTGATTAGTGTGTCAAAAGGTGATCGTATAAGTGGTAATAGTCGTCATATAGAATCATATTTTAGTTTTATATTTGCAAATTGCTAGTATTCAAGGAATGTTTATGAAAATTATTGATTTCTACATGGCTACTGCGTTATCTAAACAGTAGTAAGTACAAAAATCGAGAAACGGTTCTCGACGCGCTTTGTACAAACTGCAGTCCTTTATATATATATATATATATATATATATATATATATATATATATATATATATATATATATATATATGTATATATATATATATATATATATATATATATATATACAATATATATATATATACAAATATATATATATATACAAATATATATATATATATATATATATATATATATATATATATATATATATATATATATATAAATGTGCGTGTGTGTGTGTGTGTGTGTGTAGACAGACAGATATATATAGACAAATAAATTGATTGAAAGGTTGTTGACGGTCATCCAGACAGGGATAGATAAATAGCCAAACATTATTTTGAAAATTACTGCCAGATGTAGAATTATCATGTGGCATTTTACTTCCTTTCAATGAGAACGAAAGACTCACCTATACTGCCGTTTAAGCTGCTGCTGTTAACGGGACTGTTGATCCCGTTGAGACCGTTGCTGAAGCCTCCCGTGAGTCCGTTGAGCGAGGTGAGGGAAGTCAGGGCCGTGATGTCCGTGGGCGTGAGGCCGGTCAGCCCACTCAGCAGCCCTGAGCTCAGCCCGTTGCTCCCGTTCAGAAGGGAGTTGAGGCCGCCCATCCCTGAGGAGCTCAGGCCGCCCACGCCCCCGCCGAGCGCGCCCACGCCGCCGCCCATGTTGTTATTTATGTTGCTGAGGCCGCCGCCCGCCAGGGAGCCCAGGGAGGAGGGCGGCATGGAACCTACGCCGCCCACGCCGCCCACGCCTGAGCCTCCGCCCATGCCGAGGTTGTTCCAGCCACCGTGCAGCATCTTGTTCTGTGGAAGGCAAGAAGGGGAGGTTGAGCGTATTATCTTTCTTTATCTTTCTTAGAAATGTAATAGATTCAGTCTTCACTCACTCGTTCCTTCTCTCCCTCTCTCTCTCCCTCCCTCCCTCCCATCCTCCCTTCCTCTCTCCCATCCCCCCTTTTTCCTTCTATCATCTCTCCCTCTCTCTCTCTCCTCCCTCCCTTCCTCTTTTTCTCTCTCCCAGCCTCCCTTCCTCTATCCCTCTCTCCTCCTCTCTTTCACTTCCAACCTTCCTCCCTCCCTCCCTCCCTCCCTCCCTCCCTCCCTCCCTCCCTCCCTCCCTCCTTCCCTCCTTCCCTCCTTCCCTCCTTCCCTCCCTCCCTCCCTCCCTCCCTCCTTCCCTCCCTCCCTCCCTTGTCCTTCAAAGACACAACAGAGCGCCGTCGTGAGCAAGACATCGGATCAAATACGGTGTTCAATGCCACCAGAAGGCGGTTCATAAACAAAGAGAATCCGAGCTGATTACTGACGACTGAGACAAGGTTACAAGAGCCAAGGACGTGAGACTCGAGATCCTTCACAGGACCTCGCCTTCCTTACCAGCGAGGGGGGGAAGGGAGGGGAGGTGGAGATGAGGGAGGGGAAAAGGGAGATGAAGGAGGGGAAAGGGTGAGGGGAGATGAGGGAGGGGAAAGGGTGAGGGAAGGGGAATAGGGCTGAAGGGAGAGGCAAAGGGGAGATGAGGGAAAGGGCGAAGGAAGGGGAATGGGGCTGAGAGGAGAGGGAAAGGGGAGATGAGGGAAGGGGATTTAGGCTGAGGGGAGGGAAAGGGGAGATGAGGAAAAGGGGAAGGGGGTGGAGGGACAGAAGCGAAAGGCGAAGAAAAGGAGATAAAATATAAAAAAAAAATGTAAAGAGAAAGAGAGAGAGTGAACTGGAATTAGATGTCCGACACTGTTAACCTTATATTGACCTTAACACGATTAAATGGGATACGCCGTATGTGAAATAATTATCGTTAAGCGTCGTAACTATTCACACCGGAAGCAGTATTAGCATCATCGTATTACCAACAGTAATAATGATAGTAACAGCAATAATATGATAATACAATTTGGGAATACAATTTGCAATGCAGTATCATCAAAGTGGAGAAATGTCGATTATTCAAATACAATGAAAACAACAATGACACGAATATTTTCCTCGCTCTCGCTCTCGCTCTCTCTCTCTCTCTCTCTCTCTCTCTCTCTCTCTCTCTCTCTCTCTCTCTCTCTCTCTCTCTCTCTCTCTCTTTCTCTTTCTCTAGATATATGCTCATTGGATCCAGTGGATATGTGTATGTGTCCCATTTGTTTTCTATGTGAAATGCGAATCCACATAGGGGTGAGGATAACCTACGTTACCTTATTATTTTGAGATGCAAGCTTTTGCCTCAGTAAACATGTCAAATCAAAAAAATCTCTCTCTCTTTCTCCATCCCTCCCTCCCTTCCTCCCACTTCTTCCCTCCCTCTCTCTCTTTCTCCCTCTCCCCCTCTCTCTTTCTCTCCATCCCTCACTCCTTTCCCCCTTCCCTCTCTCTCACTCACTCATTTTCACTCTCTCTCTCTCTCTCACACACAGACACACACACACACACACACACACACACACAAACTCATTCTCACTCTTACTCTCATTCTCACTCTGTGCTTCGCATGATTACGAAAGATTAAGTTGTTCTCCAACTTACCAACCTGAACAGATTCAGTCAAAAGATGGTACTTTCTACTCTGGTCAAATACGAAAGAGCCAGGCGGAGGGTGACTGATTGCAACTTCGCATGTCCCTAAATTTTGGAGTTTTCGCAAAGGATAGAATAATAAGACAGCTTGATATGCGTAAATGAGTTTGCGTCCTCCTTCTTATTTACAACCCCGAAAGATCGTGAACATCTGAACAAAACGGTTTTCCTTTGCCCCCCCCCCCTCCACCCCAACCCCGCCCTCTCCACTTCCCAAAGAATAAAGTAATAAAAGATTGTTATAGTGATGAGATTAATAGTAGTAATGATAATATAATAATAGTGATGATACTAATAATATTGATAATAATAATATCAATAATAGTAATAATAACATCAATAATAATAGTAATAATAATAATAATAGCAACAACAACAGTGATAATGATGATTATCATTATAACAGTAATAATAGTGATCATGATAATAATGAAAATAACAATAATGATAATGAGTATAATAACAATAATAACAATGGACAATGGACATCGCAGTAGTAGTAGTGATAATAATAATAATAATAATAATGGACATAATAACCATCACTATCATCATTATAATCATAATAATAATGAAAATAATAACAGCAATGCTAATAGTAATAGCGATATTAATATCAACAATAATAACTGTACAATTAAAAAATAATGATAATGATAACAATTATCAAAATAGTGATAATAACAATAATAGAAATGATAGTACTATAATAATCTTACCAGTAATTCTAATAATGACAGCAACAATGGTATTAATGTTAATGATATTGATGATGATGATGATGATGGTGATAATAACGATGATAGTAATAATAATAATAATAACTAAAACAAAAATTATAGTAATGATAAATAAAAAAGAGGAATGACAATAACGGTGCAAACAAAAATATTGATATTAATAACAGTGATAATAACAGTCATGATAATCATAATCATAGTAATAATAATAATAAGGATAACAATAATACTGATGATAATAATAAAAATACTAATAATAATAATATTAGTAGTAGTAATAAAATAATGGTGATAACATTAATGATGATGAGGATGATATGATGGTAATAATAAAAATAATAGTGATAACAATGATAGTAACAATAACAAAATGATAATGATAATAACAATTACAATAACAAGAACATTAATAATATTGATAACGATAACAATAAAAATAATACTGTTGGTAATAATATTGGCAGTAATCATAAAAATAATAATGATATCAGTTATGATAATAATAATAGCACAATTATAGTAATAGTGAAAATTATGATAATAACAATAATCAGAGAGAATATATAAGTAGCGATAATCATGATGATAATAATAATAATTTCTAATAAACAATAACAGTAAATAACAATAATAATGATGATGGAAAAAAAAAACAGAAACACAATACTACTGATAACAATACCAACCTCAACAACAATAATAACAATGATGACGAATGTAAGAATGATAATTATGATTATAACGATGATAACGATGATAATGATAATATGATACTGACAGTAAGAAGTATAATGTTAATAATGATAATGATGAGGTGGAGGAGGAGGAGAATAATAATAATAACAATAATAATAATAATAATAATAATAATAATGATGATGATGATGATGATGATGATGATGATGATGATAATAATAATGATAATAATAATAATAATAATATTAATAATAATAATAATAATAACAAAACAACAACAACGATGATAATGATAGCAATAATAATAACAACAAAGGTCACAGGAATAGTGGCAAAAAGAACAATGGTAATGTATAACAACAACAATAATAACTATGATAAAAAGTTTATTGATAAATAATAGTAATATAACAATGGTGATAATAATAACATTAAAAAGAAGAAGAAAATATCCTTATTAATCATAATAAGGACAATAGTAATCAAACCGATAATAGTATAAGTAATAAAAATAAAAATCATAATGATAACCATTAATAGTAATTGTAACAACAATAATAATAATAATACTGCTGCTACCGATGATGATGATAATAATAACAATAACAATAACAATAATAGATAGAACAACAACATTGTTGTTGTAATAATAATGATAATAATACTAACAATAATACTAACAATGATAAAAATAATAATAATATTAATAATAATGATAATAATAATAATAATAATGATAATAATAATAGTAATAATGATAATAATAATAATAATAATAACGGACATTGTTCATTCTGATGAATGTAGAAAAGGTATGAATGAGTGACCTGCTGCTCGCTACCCATATCATTTTTCCTGCGATCCGCGGATTAACTGAAGCTGCCTGGCACGATGCTTCTATTCTCTTCCGTTGCAATGTATGCATTTTGTATTATTTACACATGATTTCTACCAACTTTCCTTGATTTTAAAAAAGAAGTCCCTGGGATATTTGTATTGATCTCTCTCCCGCGTCTTTCATGAAGGACTACGCTCAGAGGGGAGCCCAGGGCATAACCGGTGACCTGTTGATGTTCTTCCCTTGCGAACTCGAAGTATCTAAAATTTACGCGCAACTTTACTAGACTCAGGAAGCGGAAGTTCACTATCTATCATAGAACTGATGACCCTCTCAAAATGCTCGGATTACGTAATCTTGAACACCCGCTGAACCGACAGTGACGTCAGCAAAGGATTCATCCCAGAGACTGTCGTCCTCACCCAGGCTGACAAAGTTGGGAATACTGTCGTTACTGATAAAAAAAATATACAGTACACGTAAAATTAACGATATTTTCCTGATGTGTCTGCTTTAATACAAAGTGACGAGAGACGAGCAGACGGAAACTACCAGGTTCAAGAAGACGAGGGATTTGGTCTTGTGTTCAGCTGGAGATAAACGCTTACTTCACCTATTGGAGGGAAGCCCCCCGCTACCCGTCCATGAGGGTTTCCCAAAGGTACACAAACCACGTGTACCACAAAATCATTTTCATCATCATCATCTTCACCATCATCATAATAATAATGATAAGATTAATAATGATAATGATACTGATAATTATGATAATAAGGATAATGATACTGATAATTATGATAATAATTATAATGATACTGATAATTATGATAATAATGATAATGAAAAGAATAATAATAAAAATAGTAATAATGATAGAAATAATAATATGAAGAACAAAAAATAACAAAAACAGTAACAACAATAACAACGATAATAATAATAATAATGATGATGATGATGATGATGAT